ATGAGGGTGGAATCACTATTCTTTTTAAAGTTGTTTTAAGTGGAAAATGTGTTAGAGTGCATTACATATAGCTTTATAGTGAAAATATAAAAATATTATAAAACTTATATTCAGGAGGGGGGGTGGACTTAATTTTTTGTAAAAGTTTTTTTTTAAGAGGAAACTATGTTCAAATGCATGAATTAGTCATTTGGTGAAAATATGGAAATATGATAACATTCATTTTCAGGGATTGGAATCCTACTTTAGTAAAAGTTGTTTTAAGTGGAAAATGTGTTTAAATGCTTAATTATAACATTTTGATAAAATAATGGAAATAAGACTAAATTCATTTTCACTAAGGGAGGAATCCTATTTTAACTTAATAATGAAAATATGAAAACATTATAAAACTTATATTCAGGAGGGGGGACTTATTTTTGTAAAACTTTTTGTAAGAGGAAATTATGTTCAATTGCATGAATTAGTCATTTGGTGAAAATATGGAGATATGATAACATTCATTTTTAGGGGATTGGAATCCCTACTTTAGTAAAAGTTGTTTTTAAGTGGAAAATGTGTTTAAATGCTTGAATTATAGTTTTATAGTGAAAATATGAAAATATTATAAAACTTATATTCAGGTGGGGGGGCGGACTTTTTTTTTGTAAAAGTTTTTTTTTAAGAGGAAATTATGTTCCAATGCATGAATTAGTCATTTGGTGAAAATATGGAGATATAATAACATTCATTTTCAGGGGATTGGAATCCCTACTTTAGTAAAAGTTGTTTTGAATGCTTCTTTTTATTGTGCAAAATGTGTTCAAATGCATGAAGAATTATAGTCTTTTGATTAAAATATGGAAATATGATTAAATTCGTTTTCAGAATTGTTGGAATCCCTGTTTTTGTAAAAGCTGTTTTTTAAGTGGAAAATGTGTTGAAATGCATTAATTATAGTTTTATAGTGAAAATATGAAAATATTATAAAACTTATATTCAGGAGGGTGGACTTAATTTTTTGTAAAAGTTGTTTTTTAAGTGGAAAATGTGTTCAAATGCATGGAATTAGTCTGTTGGTGAAAATGTGGAAATATGATAACATTCATTTTCAGGGGATTGGAATCCCTACTTTAATAAAATTTGTTTTTAAGTGGAAAATGTGTTTAAATGCTTGAATTATAGTTTTATAGTGAAAATATGAAAATATTATATAACTTATATTCGGAGGGGGGGTGGACTTTTTTTTTGTAAAAGATTTTTTTTAAGAGGAAATTATGTTCCAATGCATGAATTAGTCATTTGGTGAAAATATGGAAATATGATAACATTCATTTTCAGGGGATTGGAATCCCTACTTTAGTAAAAGTTGTTTTTATTTGGAAAATGTGTTTAAAGGCTTGAATTATAACTTAATAGTGAAAATATGAAAATATTATAAAACTTATATTCAGGAGGGGGGTGGACTTAATTTTTTGTAAAAGTTGTTTTTTAAGTGAAAAATGTGTTCAAATGCATGGAATTAGTCTGTTGGTAAAATGTGGAAATATGATAACATTTATTTTCAGGGGATTGAAATCACTTCTTTCGCCAAAGTTGTTTTATAGTGGAAAATGTGTTCAAATGCTTGAAGTATAATATTTTGATGATGGAAATATTGCAAATAATAGAAATATGATAAAATTAATTTTCAGGATGAGGGTGGAATCACTATTCTTTTTAAAGTTGTTTTAAGTGGAAAATGTGTTAAAGTGCATTACATATAGCTTTATAGTGAAAATATAAAAATATTATAAAACTTATATTCAGGAGGGTGGACTTAATTTTTGTAAAAGTTTTTTTAAGAGGAAATATGTTCAAATGCATGAATTAGTCATTTGGTGAAAATATGGAAATATGATAACATTCATTTTCAGGGATTGGAATCCCTACTTTAGTAAAAGTTGTTTTAAGTGGAAAATGTGTTTAAATGCTTAATTATAACATTTTGATAAAATAATGGAAATAAGACTAAATTCATTTTCACTAAGGAGGAATCCTATTTTAACTTAATAATGAAAATATGAAAACATTATAAAACTTATATTCAGGAGGGGGACTTATTTTTTGTAAAACTTTTTTAAGAGGAAATTATGTTCAAATGCATGAATTAGTCATTTGGTGAAAATATGGAAATATGATAACATTCATTTTGGGGATTGGAATCCCTACTTTAGTAAAAGTTGTTTTTAAGTGGAAAATGTGTTTAAATGCTTGAATTATAGTTTTATAGTGAAAATATGAAAATATTATAAAACTTATATTCAGGAGGGGGGGTGGACTTTTTTTTTGTAAAAGTTTTTTTTTAAGAGGAAATTATGTTCAAATGCATGAATTAGTCATTTGGTGAAAATATGGAAATATGATAACATTCATTTTCAGGGGATTGGAATCCCTACTTTAGTAAAAGTTGTTTTTAAGTGGAAAATGTGTTTAAATGCTTGAATTATAACATTTTGATAAAATATTGCAAATAAGACTAAGTTCATTTTCACTAGGGGAGGAATCCCTATTTTTAACTTAATAGTGAAAATATGAAAACATTATAAAACTTATATTCAGGAGGGGGGGTGGACTTATTTTTTTGTAAAAAATTTTTTTTTAAGAGGAAATTATGTTCAAATGCCAGAATTAGTCATTTGTGAAAATATGGAAATATGATAACATTCATTTTCAGGGGATTGGAATCCCTACTTTAGTAAAAGTTGTTTTTAAGTGGAAAATGTGTTTAAATGCTTGAATTATAACATTTTGATAAAATAATGCAAATAAGACTAAATTCATTTTCACTAGGGGAGGAATCCCTATTTTTAACTTAATAGTGAAAATATGAAAACATTATAAAACTTATATTCAGGAGGGGGGGCGGACTTATTTTTTTGTAAAACTTTTTTTAAGAGGAAATTATGTTCAAATGCATGAATTAGTCATTTGGTGAAAATATGGAGATATGATAACATTCATTTTCAGGGGATTGGAATCCCTACTTTAGTAAAAGTTGTTTTTAATGCTTCTTTTTATTGTGCAAAATGTGTTCAAATGCATGAAGAATTATAGTCTTTTGATTAAAATATGGAAATATGATTAAATTCGTTTTCAGAATTGTTGGAATCCCTGTTTTGGTTAAAGCTGTTTTTTAAGTGGAAAATGTGTTGAAATGCATTAATTATAGTTTTATAGTGAAAATATGAAAATATTATAAAACTTATATTCAGGAGGGGTGGACTTAATTTTTGTAAAAGTTGTTTTTTAAGTGGAAAATGTGTTCAAATGCATGGAATTAGTCTGTTGGTGAAAATATGGAAATATGATAACATTCATTTTCAGGGATTGGAATCCTACTTTAAGTAAAAGTTGTTTTGAAGTGGAAAATGTGTTCAATTGCTTGAATTATAGTTTTATAGTGAAAATATGAAAATATTATAAGACTTATATTCAGGAGGGGGGTGGACTTAATATTTTGTAAAAGTTGTTTTTTAAAAGAAAAATGTGTTCAAATGCATGGAATTAGACTGTTGGTAAAAATAAGGAAATATGATAACATTTATTTTCAGGGGCTTGAAATCACTTCTTTCGCAAAAGTTGTTTTATAGTGGAAAATGTGTTCAAATGCTTGAATTATAATATTTTGATGATGGAAATATTGCAAATAATAGAAATATGATAAAATTAATTTTCAGGATGAGGTGGAATCCCTATTCTTGTTAAAGTTGTTTTAAGTGGAAAATGTGTTAAAGTGCATTACATATAGCTTTATAGTGAAAATATAAAAATATTATAAAACTTATATTCAGGAGGGGGGTGGACTTAATTTTTTGTAAAAGTTTTTTTTTAAGAGGAAACTATGTTCAAATGCATGAATTAGTCATTTGGTGAAAATATGGAAATATGATAACATTCATTTTCAGGGATTGGAATCTACTTTAGTAAACTGTGTGGTTATAAGGCTGCTCTTCGAAAAGCAACAAAGAAACTTGGGAGGCATTTTAGCAGAAGCTTATAACTACAATATAAATCTGCGAGATGTATCTGGTAATCTGCTGTACAACACTCGCCGAAAGACAGGATTTGTGGGACTCTTGGTGGCAATAACAAACATCAAGCAAATTTTCTCTGACCTGGTTGAAAGAAAAAATGCACCAATGAAATACATACTAACATACAAGTTCAGCCAAGATCACTTAGAGCTATTTTTGGGGCAATTCGATCAGCAGGAGGATTTAACAATAACCCAACAGCCCAACAGTTCACAGCTGCCTATATAAGATTACTTTTACGAAGCAGCATTGAAGGTAGAAATGGAAACTGCAAAAAGCAAGATGGAACAGACATCCTTGAGATTATTACTGATTCAGATAATAGAATTGACAAAATGCCAGTATTTGAGCGCTTTTGACACACTTTCACCTAGGAAATACATATTTATGAAACCGATTAAATATACAACGTATAAATAATGCCCTTAAAACGTGCTATATGAAGTCATCTTCAGAGTCAAAATGAATCTATAATCGCTTTTATCCCTAACTATCCCTACCATTCATCTCATATATCGCTAATCTTATCATTCCTTAACCACACATGTCATTTATTCCTTGTAATCCCCCAACCATGTGCTCTCCTTAACCTTTATTATCCCATTATTACATGTCTTCATTTATCCCTTAACTATACCTGTTTTTTATTCATCCCTTATCATCCCTTAACCGCGCATCCTCATTTATTCTTTATCATACTTCAACAATGCGTAGTCATTTATCCCCACGCGTCTTTATTAAGTTGTAACTGTTATCTTTCTTTTGTGTTTCAGGAAAAGAAAAGACAAAACGTAAAAAGAAAGCAAACATTGCGCAAATTGAAAATGTTGAATTCACAGAGACGGAAGAAGGAACTTGTACTGTCAGTTCTCATGGTAGTTCTTCCACGAATACGACTGCTCACGATAGTTCCACGAGTTTTACCCGAGCGGCATACGATATATTACAACGTAATACTGATTCTCAGGTACATGCTCGTGGTAACCATGCTTTAACTAAAAGGCCTGACGATTTTCTTGAAGTGCCAAAGAACTCTCAGTTGGCTTATTGTTCAAATTCTGAGAATTCAAGTCTTTCTTCCACAATGGCGAAATCCAACGTTGAGAACAAGGAGAATGAAACAGATGAACAAGTGGCTCGATTAACAAAGAAAAGCCAGGAAGTTCTGCATCTTAAAGACGAGTTTAAAACTGCGAATGATTTGAAAAAATCATTCTTTGACAACATCTTTGCAATCAGGGCGTTACACTGACTCATCGCTCTTGTCGGAGGAAGTGTTTGAGCCCCTTGTTGATATGAACAGCGGTGTATCTCTAATTCCCGTTGTTTGCCCCGATGACGATAAAGGAGTTAGGGTCTAGCTATGTCAGATGAAAATGAGCGATTTACTGTTGCACCTGAGACGTCGCGACATTTAGAAGATACTTCATTATTTTATCGACAAGAATTTCTAACGAGTTGACCATTTTAACTGAGGTGGTAATTTATGTTGTTTTCAGTATTTACACTGATGAAGACGTCGAGAATGATGCAAGTTTAGCAATAGAGGCAACTGTTGCAGCGATATGTGCCACACGTGATGGTAGCATAGAAATTAATGATTACTCAGGATCTTCATTGGTCAGAACCATGGGTGATGGTTGTATGAATGTTAGTTAATTATGAAATGCTTTTATCTTTTTTAGGGAGGGTAGGGTAGAAAGCCATCTGTAAATATCTTTGTTATATTTAGTTCGTTATATTTGGTATGTTTTCGTTCTTTAGCCATCAGAGGAATATCCATCAGGCAAAGAAATGACTTCAGGTTTGTGTGTTTTTTCTATTCACGTATTTAAATGTTTTTATTTCTTATATCTTTTGGAAAAATGTTTTGGGAACGGGAGAGGCACTTTTGCCTCAGGTTCTCAAACTATAAATGGGCTATTAGCAGGTAGAGTTAGTTTTAAATATAGAAATATTTAGTGCAATTGGATTTTACTATTTGTATCGTAGTTGCTTTGCTTGTTTGGAGGCATCGGTCAAATTTCATCATGTGAACTGAATCATTGTAAGTGTGAATAATTATAATTTCATGAATATCAATAAATACGTGATTTTTTATTGTTGAAGAGGAATTAAAACAGGCGATTGTATCGATGATGTTAAGAAAAGATGAAGTTGAAGAACGTAACAGGTTGTATTATCGTCCTTCGTTTAATATTAACATTCCATTCGAATATACACTATTTTGCCCTGATTTTTCCTTCGGTCATCTTTCCTGTAGATCGTTACAACAACATTTGGAAAAGAGATGATGAAGTCAGCTTCTCTTCGTCTTCAATTAGAAGATTTAAAAAGAGCTATGTCGTCGAAAGATGAAGAAAATTGCGTCGCTCTTAACGGCTTGAAAAGGTTAGGACATTGAGAACTCTGCATTTTCGTTAATCAAAGATGTCTGTTGACCTGTTGACCAACTAAAGAAATACGTGGGTGCTGTTCAATCGTTGAAAAGAAATGACATTATGGAAGAAGGTTTATTAGAGGGATAGTTTATCTTTAAAATAGATGTAGAAATCTAAGATATTCGATAATCTTTTGTGTAGCTCCAGAAAATGAAAGACTTTTTCCATCATTCTTTCTCCGGAATCTGACGTCGACGAAGTGAGGTATTTACAGTAAATTTGTAGCAAAAGTGAATCAACGGCGTTGAATTTCGTTTCTTTTTGTAGAAAGGAAAAACAAAGATTTTGAGCGGAAGTTGATCCAAGTAAGATTTCCATTAAACCATAATACTTTTACAAATCGAAACATTTGCCTTAAAAGGTCTTCATGTATCATATGCTTCATGAAGATGAGCCGAAATTTATTTGATAGAAAACTCTGCACACGGTGACTTTTAGAAATATCTAATACAAGAAGATATTTTAACTTATGAAAACTGAGGATAAATAACTGAAATGAAATCGTGATATATGTTTAAAAAAACTCGCCACTCTGACTGATTTCGCGTTTCTTGTTCATGTCTGGGGAATTTCATGGTGATGGCGTCATGGCGTAAGTTGTGATGAAATGTTGTTTATCATGTTTAAAGGTCGCTGATATGCATGGCGAACTTATTGAACGCTCGTGAATATCAGCTAAGAAAATTAAAAGAAGAGCTTGTCAATCTTAGAGGACCGGTATGTTCAGTAAAGACCCGTGTGTTCATTATAGTACAATAGATGTACAATATTGATCGGTATGTACAATATGAACTGTTTGGTATGAATATGAAAAGCAGTAAATATTCTTTTCATTTTCTAAGTATTTCTTAATAAAACTACGTATCTTCGTATGTTCTAGCTTCCTCAGGACAATAATCATGATGAATGTTTATATTTGACGGAGTTTGGTCCAAATTTCATGTCTGTCAATACTCGTCCTTTAATTAACATTTGGATTCCATCTGTTTTGTCCAAGGAAAGTCTCCAAACATTCACCATTCTTATCAGGTATAATTTTTCCATATATTTATCTCTAAAAAGTAAATAACTCTTCCGATGTGATGTTGATGGTTATCTGGACTAGGTTAGGGATAACTAGGAAAATATTTCAAGATTTATTATCTATATTTGGTATTTTCCTCGTTTCAAATACATCACCCTTAAGAAAAGTGTTTGTGGTCATCGTATTTAAAAGATCATGTCGTAGTTTAAATTTACTGCTCAAATATTTCACTTTTCATATGTATATGTTTAGTGGTGTTGAGAAAAAATCACAAAACTACAGATTCATCCCGACAAGCCTGTTTCGTGATTGCTCACTCTTCAGGGATTTTCCTTTAATCACGAAACAGGCTTGTCGGGATGAATCTGTAGTTTTGTGATTTTCTCAACACCACTACATATTTCTGCTCGCGGGCATCGAGCACTGTTTTAAACGGATTTATACTGTTTTATACTGTTATATATATACAAAGTGTATATACAATGTGCCCTCCCTATCACTATATTAAAATAGTGATTCCTGCACTTGGGACACAGGGCGTACGGTTACACATTGTATGGATTGTATTGTAGAGTCAGCACAGTGCTCATATATATATATATGTATATCATCTGCTCAGTGGTCCATTTATTGTCGTCAATAAAGAATTTAACATTGTTTACTTCACAAGGTTTATATCCGTATCAAAGACGATGAATGGAATGTTTACAAAGATACTCGGATTTTATGCCCTACATAAAAAGGTTTTTAATGAACATCAGTATTTTAATTTTTTTAATCATATTGTTTTGCCGTAATGTACAATCCCTTCCTTTTCCTTTTTATGCACAGACAAGCAAGCAGTTTAAACCTGTTGCACAATTCACGTTTCCCGCGAAAAAAATTCTTGGAAATCGTGACGTAAATTTTGTGGAAAAACGTCGGAAACAATTGGAAAATTACTTGAGACAATTGATCAATTATAGTCTGGGTGCTGTTCCAGAGTTAGGTGAAAATCCTTGCAAGAGTTCTTTGTTCAAATACTTTCCATTTTTCATGTGAGTAAACACGTGATCATGTTTGAGTGTAATTTATTGTTCAATATACAGAATATTAAACGATATTTTAGTGTTAATGTTTGTAAGGCAAGAATAGACAGAAAAATTGAAAGTCAAAACAAGAACATAAAGCAATCTAGCGCATGCCCTGATTGGTCTATAACTGTGTTTTCATTAGCTTCTGCAAACCGATCTGAGCCCAACAAATCAAATCAATCAAAGAGAATTCGCAAATCAATCATGAATACATTTTAGAGGAAAAATTAAATCGTTTGTTTTAAATTTGTCTATTTCGCATTATTGATATTTTTTAAAAGATATTTTTCTGTTTGCTGCCTTATGCAAACCTCGGAGATGTTTGTGAGAAATCTTGAGCATGTGCAACACTCTACCTTCGGTTTCGGGCTTGCACTGATCTGCTCTCGTGTTCTCCCAAAGGTCTCCTCGGTTTGCATAAGCCTGTGCAAACACAGTAAAATCTTTTATTTCGTAATAATACAACACAAAGAACTCAAACTTAGGCTTGTTTTAGAAAGAAAATGCTACTACCTATTATTTCATGAATAGTTTATCAATTTTTCCCTAAACTTTCAGCAAATATTTTACAGGCAAACTTCAACGGTATCATCTGTTTCAACGACGACAACAACAAAACAAACTGTTCCTTCTACACATAATGGTTAAAAGGTAAAACTTGTAGGATGTCTGTCAAAAAAAACAGAGCATGGAAATTGTATAACTTTTATTGTATATATATAACATACGTATAGTTCAGTATATGTAAATATAATATGTCTACAAAGTAGAAGAATTTACTGATGCATCAACTTCAAGGACTCTTTATTGTATGTGTTATATACAGATATAATTTGTCAGTATTTGCTACTATATAATAGTACATCATACAGGGTTTTAACAAGTTAAAACATAATATTTAACTTGAAATGAAAGCAATCGTATTTTAAATACATCACACGAAACCTACTATGCTATTAAATTTTGTGCTATCTCTGCACGATTTGATCAATTTACACATACCGCGTCACCCAGCTCTTGCTGGTGAATGTTTATACCACTTGACACGTGACCTATTTTGATCAATACGTCGTATGACTTTTTGGCGATCTTTCCCGCGCTATGTGTAAAGAGATTTCTTGCTGAAACAATCTTTATCGTAAGTATTACGTAAAATATTTCATTTATAAGTTTCAAAGTATTACATTGAGTAATATAACCTTTTTATTTCAAAGAAGGTAACGCATAGAGTCGTTATTGTAAGTATTGTACAAAATTTCTAAGAATAGGATTTACTACTTCCTACATGTATCTATTGTAATATGAAGATGTCTTCAGCTAAAGACGAAACGTTATTGTTGATAAAATTATATACCCATGGCCATATTAAAAGTTTTATGATGGGCAATTATATTTAAACTAAGAATTCGCTTTCCGCCTTGCAAACCATTTTCACAATATTTTATAACATCACAACAAGTTAAACCTGTTGAATACATGATTCTTTCTTTGAAGCTGTTGCAAAAAGTCGTTTCCAAACTCGAAAAAACGAAGATGGCCGTTGAAGAGTTACGTTTTTACAAAACTTATATCAGTTTTACCCTAAAATATCAGCTGCTTCTTCCTCAGTCAAACTTTATACTTCATTCCTCATTCATTTTTCAAAGCTGTCGGGAAAAGTCTTTCAAGAAGTCAGAAAAGAATTTGACGAAGAAACATGGCATTGCCGAAGTTTTGTTGTACATGGTGGGTTTTACCAGAGGTTTGACAATTGCTGGTTTATCAAAGATCTTTACGTTAAATACATGATTATTTTTTGCTAAGCTCTTTGAAAAAGTCGTTCAAGAAGTCAGAAAAGACGTTAACGAAATGACGACCGTTACAGAATGGCATTGCGGAAATTTTCGTTGCACAAGGTCGGGTTTCTCTTGGCGAATTGTTGCCTCCAATATTAGCTGCTTTTATGTCCATCGTTTGTATCTTTACTGTTTACTGAAATAACTGCCGAAAGTTTGTGTAAGAACATGTTACATGTTACATGTTCGTTCGCTGAATCACGGCTATCGGGCTCATATAAATAGTCCCTAAAACTAAAGGTAAGTTCATGAAAGTAATCAACTGCATACATTGCCGTCTACTACAGTCTTTGCATTTTTACACATTTTCATGCCAAAGACTATATTTCAGGCAGTTTTACACAATTTCATGCCAAAGACTATAGTTTTACAAACTTTCATGTCAAAGACTATACTTTTACAAACTTTCATGCCAAAGACTATAGTTTTACAAACTTTCATGTCAAAGACTATACTTTTACAAACTTTCATGTCAAAGACTATACTTTTACAAACTTTCATGCCAGACTATACTCTTTGCATTTTTATACACTTTCACATCAAAAACTATAGTCTTTGCATTTTCACACACTTTCACACCAAAGACTATAGTCTTTCATTTTACACACTTTCACATTGTCGCATGGAGATTGAAAATTCTTTAAAAGGGACAACAAATAATACCGGCTGAAAGTAGAATGAAAAAATTAAAAAAATACATTGCAATAATATTTTTCTATCCTGTTCATTCCTTTGATGTGTGCAAAACTAGTTGGTCAGCCTTCATTTACCATTGAAGACCTTTATATAATTTCAATGTCTGTCACTACGCCAAGCCCACAGGTGCATGGAACATTGTTAGCTACGTTTATGCAAGCACAAAAGATTTTCCTCCATTGAAAATGTAATGCACTAGTGAGGTTAGCACAGTGATTGGGTTTCGAAATTTTACAGTAGTTTAATTGCCAAACGTCGTTTTTATGTACACCCTGTAGAATGCTAAATAAAAGAGATCAAATGTTAATGCTAACAAATACAATAAGAAAATGAGATGAAGATACAATCTAGATGGTTTATCAAATCATTTTTGACATCAGTGGACCTTTAGAATTTGCATGATTCAGCTGAAGTTGTTCCCCAAGGAGACTTAAATGTTTGGAATTTGCTATTTGCTGTAGCTGAAGTATACGTTTTATTTATATTGTATTAAATTGCATTTACCGCTCTATGGGGATTAATTACTTCTAAGTGATGAATCATGCAAATTCTAAATTTCACAATGTACAATTGACGTCACACCTGGTAAATGACCAATCAGAACACAACACGTTTTCAACACGCCTAGTCACTGACCAATCAGAATACAACACGTTCGTGAAACTTGGGCCATAGTCTAAGACTAAGAACGTGCCATTTGTGCGTGAAAGTCTGTAGTTGCACGAAGAACAGCAGAACAGTTAGCCGAAGTCGAAATTATTCCAAGGTGAAATATCTCTTGGAGTGCTTTGAAAAATGTTCAGGTAAATGTCTTGTTTCATGTTCTTTTGCATTGAGTAAACATTGAATTGGGACACTACATGTGATGTTCATTAATGCAAAGTGCAGTGTGGCCTTTCCATAAAGTTTTCGTCTTAGTAACTTTTGTTTCCTCTATGCTTGATTTTAGACATGGACATTCTTCTCTTAAGCGACAATTAGTCATCAAATGAGATTGAGAAACAACAAACAAATGTTGGTGTATTTACCATGATCGTGGACTCTACAATTACAGAAACTGGTTGTTGTTCACAGCGGTTGAAGAGAATTGTGGCTGTTGTCGACCAGTTCCTTCTTCCCTTGAACTACGTTACGAGTAAATAAAATGTTCAATATAAGTATGTTATCAATGTTTTTCATTTATGGAAGTATAGTGTGAACTGACATTGGCTTTAATTATCCTTTGTAGAAACCTTCTGATCAAGAATGGACAATATACGTACTTTAATGAAATCCTCTGAACAATGATCAAGAATGAACAGCGTACTTTAACGAGTCCTCTGAAGAATGATCAAGATGAACAATATACTTTAATGA